TGTGTGTGTGTGTGTGTGTGTGTGTGATTGAACTCAGGACTTCACAATTGCTAGGCAAGCTCTGTACCTCTTGAGCCACACCTCCAGCCCTCTGGCTAGAACTTTGAGCTCAATATTTAATATCACAAGAGAAAGAAGACATTTCCCCGATCTTAGGGGTAAAATGTTCAATCTTTCACCACTGAGTATGTTGTTAGCAGTGGGTTTTCATGATTATTTTTTAATGTTAGGTTAAGGAATTTCCCTTCTCTTCTTAGTTTGCTGAGTGTTTTTACCATGAAAGAGTGCTGGATTTAGTCAAATGCTTTAAAAAATCAATTAAAACATTTTCCCCTTTCATTCTGTTAATGTGGAGTATGACATTAATTTTTGTATGTTGAACTATCCTTGTATTCCTGTGATAAATCTCACATGGTCATGTTGCATAATCCTTTTAAAATGCTATTAGATTTGGCCTGCTAGTATTTTGTTGACATTTTCACTTCTATATCTATAAGGGATATTATTTGCTTTCTTGTGATGATCTTTTGGGCTTTGGTATCAAGGTAATGCTGGCCCTGTAGGAGTTACAAAGTGTTCCCTCTTCCATTCTTGGAAGGGTTTGAGGATTGGTGCTACTTATTTGTGTTTGGTAGAGTTCACCAGTGAACCCATGTAGTGCTGGACTTAGAGTTTTTTATTAGTGACTTGTTTTCTTTGTTACTGGTCTGTTCAGATTTTTTTTTTTAATTTTTTCTTGAGACAGTTTTAATCATTTGTATGTTGCTAGGAATTTGGTCATTTCATCTATGCAATCTAATTTGTTGACAATAATACTTATTTTTGATGAATAAATTTGTTTATGGTTACTAAAGATATTCAATTTATCTAATATTTATAAAACTTGAAATGTATATCATGTTTCATTGCTTTTACATTTGTAAAGCAAAATGTGCACAAAATTCTGTAAGAGATTGAAACAAAATTTTTCCCAAATACTAAGGAACTGAAATTTTCCAATGGGTGTGGCTGGTATAAATTTTATTACTCAAGGGCATAAACCCTCTTAACTTTCCTTTTACTACAACAAATGATCTCTCACAAGAAATGAGATCTCTGCTTTTCTATCTACAGGTGGGAATGTTAAGAGTAAAGCCTCCTTAGTTAAACCACCTGTGTTTGAACCCCTGCTCTGCCATTAATTTGCTACATATAATCTTAGGGCTAACCTCTCTGTGCTCCAAAATCCTTAACTATAATAAAGGAATAATGAAATAATTTACCTCATAAGGTCATTGTGAAGATTAAGTGCATTAATGCATGCAAAATATCTTTGTTCCTGTTCATAAGCACCGAACCATTATTAGCAAATATTTTTCATAAGGTAGGGTTAAAATAAATAGCATCTAGACATCTCAACGGACAGGCTAATAGTGAAAGTGAAGGCAGCAATGTGGATTCAAGGAAGAGCTATATATTTTCCCAGATTTATAAGACCCTAGACTAAAAGAGATATGAAGGTTTTGGCACATGCCCTGTCACTTGGGAAGAAAAGGACCTTTTTAATAGACTTGAGGAGCACAAGTGGTATTGCCTCAGGACTGTACTTTATCACAGTAGAAAACTGCACAAAGGACAGCAAGTCTGTGGAGACAAGAGCCAGGCCTTTACTTTCACATGCATCTGGTCTCCACTGCAGGCCACGGGGCAATAGTGTATAATGATCACTCCCAGGAATGATCACAAGGTTTTGGCTTCCTCAAGGAGATGACAATTTACTGAGGATTCTGTTACTAAAATTTTTATTTTGTTTCTTATACTTATTCTTCCTCTTACCTCACTTCCCCTAAATACATAAACATACTCCATAGCCTGATCTTTCCTTGTGAGGAAAATAATTTGAGTTTATATCTATAATAAATATATGAAATGTTAAATTAATGCATGATATGACATTATACCATTATTTCCTTAGTGCACACTAGTAAAACCACTATAGGATTTGATATGGGAAAAGAAATACTTTCTTTTTCAAGGTAGAAACATTTCATGTGCATTTAAAATCTATTCATTTTTAAAAAGGAGTGATTCTGTTTCAATTTATAAAGAAAGCAACTAAAATAAAGGCTACACTGACATAATACATTAACCACAACATTGTATTTTGAAAGATGGGTATTTAGTGCATACTTATTTTATATTAAGATATAAGTTAATGACTTACATCTGATAGGAAATTTCACAAAATGTTACCCCCACTGCATTTTTGCAAACAATAACTGAGAGTATTACCATTCACATAGGTAATAAGAGTTTACGAATGTACAAAACTTTGAGTAACAAACACTTTAAGCATATTTTTCAAACATTCAGTTAGTCCATTCCCCCAAAACCATTTGATTACAAAGAAGCAGAATGGATTCTAACTGGCAAAACCATAAGAAAACAGGCAGGGGAGCCAACACAGACTTGAGAACAGAAGAATACCCAAACAATTTAGCCAATGTCAAAAGACAAAATCAAACCATCTTTTGTAACACAAAAGAAAACAAATCCACATAATTAAATACTAGTTAGGTGAAAAAACATTTTAGGGTATATAATACTTATTTTCTCTACATTAATTTGCATATCTTAAACTTCATGTAAAACACCCTGTTTTAATTTCAATCAAAGAGTATCATACATGTAGTTCTTGGTGAATCTAGATGTAATGGAATGAGTAAGGAGGACCCAAAGATCATATCGTCTTTATTTAGTCTTTGTTGTTTTAATGCTTAGTGTTTTTCTTTATTCATTGGTATGAGCCAATTTTAGAAATGAAATCCACAATCAAAGCATATATAATGTAGTTGTTTTTGAAAAAATTATACAGTATAGCCTTTAGTACTCATTCAAATAGTGGTTATAATTAAACAAATAAAAGTTATTGCAGCTCATGTATGATAAACTTACAAAATAATGTTTTAGAGGTTTCATCTGTTATGTTTGGACTGTAATAAAATAAATCTGGACAATGTGAGTAAAAGGAGCTTGACTATGAATAAATTGTTAGCTAGCACTGGATCACTGGAGCAGTGCATTTGTCCTTGTATTTTATATCAGGAACGTATGTTCGTAATCTACCATCTGTGGTTTCGATACTGAGAAATCCTGGTGGAGCCACTTCTCCTTGCTTTAACATCTTCACTTTGAGATGAGGCACTTTGTGCCCAGGAATGAGGCATTGCACATTTACTAAAAATGTATTCATTGATAGTAGAGTAACTGTACTAAGTTAATAAAGGAAGAGGTTATCTTCATTTAGAAAACAAAGCACTAAATCATAATTTTACAGTCACAACACAAGCTCCAGCTCTTCCTAGGCAGAGTGGAGCGACCTAAAAAAGAAACAAAGAGACAGGTGTTGGAACTGGATGAAAAAATGTGGCGAATGCTATCCTGGTTGGTAAAATAATGAGATAGTCTGCGTTTGCTGACAAAGACCTCCTGCCCGACCCCTATAGTTCCAGTCTTGCTGCTGGCCTGGTCCTTCCCACAACCCTCTCCCGATGCCAGAATTTCAGACTAATTTTTTGGGTATATCACATGATCATTTGTTTCTCTTTAAAAGCGATTTTTTTTT